AGACCATGGACTACCTTAAGGCGCCTTGTGAGCTCATTAGCATGCAATACATTAGCAAGCTTTGATTGTCCATAAGCCCAAATACTGTTGTATCTGCAAAATTATCAAGCACAAAACGGTAAAAACAAGTAGAATTAGATAAAGAAAGGCCAGTCCATATATAATACATGAACAATTGACTAGTGTCTGGTGTTATAGCACAGACTGAGCAGCATTCCAAGACAAGATTCACAAAATGATACTGAGAAAGTGTTACCCTGATTCATCATTGATTTTATCAAAACGAATTCCCTCACTGTATGTAAAACGGTGAGCTTCTGATGATAAGATAACAATCCTTCCCTCTTGATTGCTTTCAAGTGCTGTCTTTTTCATGGTGTCCAATACAAGGTCTGTCAGAAGAAAATGGCCTGCAAAATTATAAAATCTCTTATGAATCCAAACTTCTGCACTTGGCAATATGCAGCATTTCAAATTTCCCAACATTGAAAAACAAGATTTGGTGAAAAGGGACTTTCTTCTTCTTTTTTTTCCTGTTTTTTCCACAGCTATCAGACTAATGTTTATTTTCATCATCTTCATTTACAATAATTGATAAGACTGAATAAATAGATAAATGAATTTGAAGATTACAGTATTCACAGACATGTGAAAAAAGAGGTCAAGTTGTGTTCTTTTTGTTGTTCAGTATCGTGGCTCTCAAGGTATCCAGGTTCAAGAATCTCATATTTGATAACACGAATTTAAATTGTCTATGCTGGATCATTTTTATTGCACGTGCTCTATTTCCCTTCATTTAAAGATTTAAATTCTATTCTCTAGCATTTCATTATCATAATAGATACTGCAATCAAATTAATGGCAGATATGCAAACAATTTATAATGTTATGTCCAACATACCCACATGGTTGGTTGCAAATTGCATTTCTATGTTGTCTTGGGAAAGCATGAAAGGAGCTGCCATAATGCCTGCATTGTTACTTAACCAAGAAAAGATAATATTAATTCTCACTATTAAATTACAAACTAAATGTGTGTAGGATGTCTTCAGTGGGCACAGTTAAAGAGGTGCATTGCCTCTTAGCCAGTTCCATTTAAAAGCACAAACACATCGACTACAGAAAAGAATGAGCAGGAACAACCAACATCATAAGAGTGACACAGAAAAGTTAACCATGGTGACCCAAAACGGATATACAGTACAAATAAGAAACATTGTTTCAGTTTTAGTCTTCTTACATTAGGAGATTCAGTGGAAGACCCAAAGATATAAATTCCGATGCAAATTTCCTCACAGATAACATTGAGTTGAGATCTAGATGCATAATATCAATCTTAGCAGTAGGGAATTCCTTGAGTATTTCTTCTTTGACTTTCGTACCAGATTCCACATTCCTTACTGCCATAACTACATGGGCACCACGCAAAGCAAGAACACGTGTGGTCTCCGTTCCAATGCCACTTGAGGCTCCTGAAATGGATTAGGCATGGAATGCATTAACAGATTAACAAACCAATTACTAAAAGTGCTAATGTATATCTATTGCCATCAGAACCCTAAATATAGCAAGCTGTCCACAACTGATCAACACACGAATAGAAAAATTCTGATATAGGAACTCCATTCTGATGTAGAAAGTCTCGCCCCAAGAATATGATAAATCGTGAGTTCCAAAATGAATCCCATCTGCAGCGGACCACTCTCTAGAAACAGAAAGATAAAGAGAACTCCACTCCAAATATTAACTAGTGATCCCCATCTATGGAGCATGACAAAACTGGTATAGCGGTATGTAAAACCTCTCCAAATATATTTATGTGCAATTAAGTAATTAAATTCCAAACATACCACGATTACAAGCTACCTAGGCCAAATAAGTTTATTAACATCTGCAAGAGCCTAGAACGTGCTAAAAAAAGAATTTGAAGCCCAGATATATTCACCAGACATTTTCAACTTCGTCTCTATAGATCTTGCACGAACTAAAAAATAGCTTAGCATCCATGTACAGGGGGAAAAAAACTGGCAAAAGCACGAAAACCCGGAAATGATCACCCAAAGAAAGAAACTTTGCATATTCCGTTTTACAAATGAGCAAGAACAAGTCTTGATTTTTCCCGTAAGTTTCAATCAGAACAAAAGCAAAAAACAGATATTATCATCACGAACCTCGAAATTCTTTTGACTGCTTGAAACGTTGAACATAACACAACTACTTGAATTAGTTGACATCGTCAAAAAACACACACACACAAACAAACAAACAGGGTATATGAGATTCATGGGTCTATTTTTCCTTCGCTTTTCCAAGAAGCCAAACAAGACTTAAACTTTGTGAGAAGAAATGATCGAAGTATGAACATGTTAGATAAAAATTAAAATCCTAGAGTAAGTAGGTTCAAATACTTGTGCGTTTAGTTTCTAACAGAAAAAAGCACAAAACTTGAAAACAAAAGAAACCCGGATCGGCTTCAGACCTGTAACAATGGCAGTGAGACCAGTTGCATCAATCCCTTGAGTAACTTGCTCGGCTGTTGATCTAGGTGAGAACCCAGATGGTCCTTTCCACCAAAAAGGCCACATATTTTCCGATATTTTGATCAAAACAACAAACAGCTTTCGAGTTTGCAAACTCTTTATGTGCTCATAATCCTACTGTGATGACTATAAGAATTGCAGAAAATGGAATCCCATCATGGATCTATTGCATCAACCCATGGTAATGATTACAATATGTTATTAAAAAAAAAAAGACAAAACAAAAAAACCCGAATACGACATCATCTTGTTGACGAGGATTCCCATAAAATAGGGGTGTTTTTTTTTTAATTTTTTAATATATATATATATATATATAGTTTTCTTTTGCTATTTTTATATTTTTGTGTTGGGATCCAAGGACCGAGGCTTTTATTAATATTTTATGCTTTAATGATGATCGTGGATGAGAAATTAAGTTTCTCAAGATTGGTTGTTTTAACGGTTTAGAAATTAAATTAATTCATAACGCTTATCAATTTCTCGTGGCCATTAATTCAAAGACAAAATAGGTTTATGCCGAAGGCTTGGCCCCTCCTCCATGTCTTCCTCCTAATGATTCTAATGGACCCGGGCCCTCTGTAATTATTGCTCCGTTCCTCGGAAATATTTAGAGATATTTATCACCTATTGATTTGGTGATGGGAAGTAATTTTTTTAAAATATAAATTTCAAGAAAATAAATTAGTTTTTAATATTTATTAGTATAATAAAAAATAAAGTAAAAATATTTTTTAGTATTTAATTGTATTATAGAAAATGAGCTGAAAAATAACTTATTAATATTTTATTTTTTTAAATTTATTAAAAGAATAAAGAATAAATCTTATAAATTAAAAAACTAAATAAAATTGAAATTGAAAAAAATATAATTTTATAAATTATTTTAAATAAAAATAATAATAAAAATCAAATCTAACAAATAAAAAAGTTGAAAGATAAAGAAATTAAAATAATAATTATTATTATTTTATAAATTATTTCAAATAAAATAAGTAATAATCAAAAGAATGAGCAATGAATTTGATAGAAAAATTTTTAAAAAAAATAAAAAAAAAAAAGAAAATAATAATTATAAAAATTAGGATCAAAGTTAGTATAAAAATTAAATTCTAAGAGATTAAATTGAAAAAAATATTTAAAATAAAATATATATAGTGATAAAAAAGTTTGAGGATCAAATTTGATACAATCAATAAATAATTTCTAATTTTTTTATAATTTCTAGAAAGTGTTTCTGACCTAAAATAAAAGAAAAATACTTCTCTGAAAATCAAGCTAAATTATTTTTACTAAAAAATATTTTTTATTAACCAACTTTTCTAATAATATATAAATACCAAAAAAATTAAAAAATAATTTTTAAAAAATCACTTTACATCAAATAATCAAGACTTTAATTTAACTCCCTCTCGGATCCATATCTACAAACCAGGTAACATTAATAGCCTCTCACCAACCTACAATACTAGTGAAAATGTTTTAAAAAATTATACTAATTAAAACATATTAAATTATTTTTTTATAATTTTAAAATAAAAATATTTTTAACGAAAAAATATTTTTGAAAAACATAAAAAATTAAAAATCATGGTTTGATTAGTGTATATTTTTTATTTATTTTTAATATATTAAAATATTTTTATTACATTAAAATATCTCTGCAATAAATAAGTATTTTTTTATTATTATTCTATTTTGGGTTTAAAAACCTAATCAAACGATAATTTTTATTTTTTAAAAATTGTGAATCGAACAAAATTCACCAACCAGTTCAAACCGAGTAATTTAGTTCAATTCGGTTTTTTCTTTCAAGTTAAACCTGTGTCTGTTTTTTCGGAGCTTTTACTATAGGGCCTGGCTGTTTGAAATCTTGCTATGGGTTTTTTAACTGTGACATGAAGGTGTTTTGGGCCCTTTCTTTTCTTTTCTCTTTTGTCATGGTCTTGAGATTATTATTTTTTGCCTTCACATCACGCTATGCTTCTTCATTTTTTAATTATTATTATGGGCCTAGGAGTGTTTTGTTAATAATAACAAAATTAAATATTCATCTGAAGCTTAAAGGCTAGTTCCCCATCATTCTATCAATTCTTAAAAATTAAAACGAAAAAACCAGCACCGACCACACCCTTCTTCTATAGTCAAATAAATTAATAAATCGGAGCATTTGTGTTCGTGCCTCCAGCTCCAAGAAACTTGTAATGTCTTGGAGTTGGAATATATGGAACAAGTTGGTGTTATGTTGTAATGGCTCGTACACCTCCTGCAAATTCAGGGAAGAAGACTTTTTAAGCTGTAAATGCAACGAAAAAACGCTCTGGTTGTCCACTGATCAATCACTTTTGATAACAAAATCATCAGCTAATCATTTCACGAAATCAGAAACATTTGCTGCTTGGAATGAGATCGTGTTTGTAATTCAGTGAAACCTACAACCAGGCTGCAACGTGTTCATGCCTGTAGTGCGACAGTCAATTGCTATCAGATTAACACTTTGCTTCTTTTGTTCAGACCATACAAAGGATATACAAAATTAGCAGAGGCAAAAAAAAAAAAAAAAAAATGTTATGAGAAGAGTAGGCTCCGCTTATGATTAGTAGAGCAGGCATGTTCCATCAGTATATGAGAACACCAGATAAGAGATGGCATAAACACTTGCAGAATGAAGAGTACAGGACTCAGTAGCCATAATTATCCATCCATACAAGCTGTTTCTCCCCGCACAACATCCATTCGCTTAGACTAAAATAACAATTAAACAAAGCTAGAGACTCTGGTGTTGATATCTATTTTGCAAAAGCATTGCAACTCCTTGCATCATAAGCAATTGCAAGAACAGTTGTACCCCTCTCTGGGCAGGCTTCAAGGAATTGTTAACATACAAACAGACAATGCATTTAGAATCTAATGGAAAAATAGCAACCTGCTTCTGAGCACAATTTGGCCGTCCTTTAATCTCCAATGTGAGACTAACAACGACCATAATCGTTTCACAATACTGATGGTTGATCCAAATGCAAAAACATATTATCTTCTCTGTGGCTTTTTTATGAGGGAAAAAAAAAGGCAAAACGCAGACACAAATGTTTAGAAAAGCACATAGCAACTTTTTGACACAGTTAAGCATAAATCTAAGACAAAAGCAAAAACCTGCATCATTTTGGTGAGAGGGTGGAGTGATCCTGGAGAAGCAGCATCAGCACGTAAGGTGTTTGATGAAACGCTTGACCGAGGATATGGCTTGGACGTGCTAGAAGCAATTTGTAACAAACTAAACCAATCAGTATCTCCAAGCAAGAAGCAAATAAACAATCAAAAAGGAAAAAGAAAAGGTTGGAAAGGAAAAGGACCCGAGAGGGAGCAAATGCATAGAACCTGCTATGTTTCCCATTCACTCACGCGTTTACACTACCCTCATATTTCACACAAATTTATTATGGCGATTTGCAAAGATAGTAACAAGACAAGACGAAGAAGCAACAAGAATTGAACATATGATACGGAAAGACAAAGATTTGACTCGAATATAAACAGAACAATTATGAAACCAAAATGACCCGGGATTGAAAATTCAAAAAGAATTGATCCGAAACTATGACTTTTAAAGCAACCCTGAAAAAAAAATCAACTTCTAACATGAATTCGTAATTTGCTTCCTTTAGAAGGGGAAAAAAAAAAACCTAATGTAGCTAATCTCGACAAAAAAATTAATGTAATCTGAAATATTTTTTTTTTATAGAAGAATTTTAAACATAAATTATTAAGTGTGTTTGGGAAGGCTTGAATTGTGTTCCTTAAATTTTGAAAAAAAAATATTTTTTATATTTTTAGATCGTTTTGATATACTGATATCAAAAATAATTTAAAAAAAAAAATTATTTTGATGCATTTTCTAAATAAAAAACACTTTGAACTGTCATGGATACCCTAATCTCCAACACACCTTAAGTTCTAGATACAAAATACTTAAGAACCAAATCAAAGATAATAAAAGCTAAGAAATTTGAAACTAACAAGAAGAAAATAAAAGATATAACTTGATTTTAAAAGTCTTGCTTAGATACTAATCGATACAAACCTCATAATCATGTGGTCATCTAACCCACAATGAAATTAAAAATCAAACCCAAGAAAGTTGAATATCAAGTTTGAAACCCCAACCCAGAGATAAACATGTATTTGAGAACCAAGTATATTAGAAAAAAAACTCGATCTCGAAAATAACCATATACATAAGAATTTGAAGTATACGACTGATGTTATGAAACTAGTTAATTTGTTATAAGTTGATGTACGATCTTTGTTCCTACAAATTACAACAAGCAAAAAAAAAAAAAAAACTTTTTTATGCAAATTATCATAACTATCAAAAATTACAGTCATAAAAGTAATATATAGTCGTCTCTAAATAACCTTAATGCATCTCTTTTGGGTTGCAAGTCAATGGAACCTATTTAGTAATAAACTACACAAGTCTAATACATAAACAAACCTTAAAAACAATGTCTAATAGGCCAAAAGAAACACAATTTAGAATAAAATTCAAAGTTAATATTATTCAACATTAAAATAAATTTAAAAAACAACATAAAACAAATTCATCTTGCTTAAAACCTTTATGCATAGCAGGCCGAAACTCCTCCTTTGCTTTCTTTGGAGGCTTTACCAAAACTTCATGTTCTAAATCAGCTAGGAAACTTTGTTTTTAATTGCTAAGATTTTCTCCCTTAAATTGCATCCTCTTAATCTCCTTGATGTGCAAGTAAATCCTATAAAATAAAATAAAAACAACAAAATAATCTTGAGCCTCCTTGCTAGTTACTACCATATACATTCTTTAATGGATATGAAATCCTTGCAAACTATAGATAATAGTTGTCATTATAAATGTCTTCTTAGTTAACATGGAATCTTTATAGAATAGGTAAGTTAATACTAGCCACATATGTTTTCAAGAGCATTAAGAAATCACTGTAGTGACTAAAATTCAAATTCATAATATACAAAGAAAACATTCTCTAAATTTCATATATTTTTGTCATGTTTCAGCTTTAAGTTCAAACGCATTGTTCTCTTTCGTCCGGATGAATTAATAAGCATACCATATACTTTCAGAAAGGTAAAGAAATGTACTTTGCAACCCAATTTTAATTTCTGCGGAATTCTTTCTATAACTCTAAATATAACCCAAGCAGTAAATGAAGGTTTGGATAGATTTAACAAGATTGATCCAATAACTTATAAAATAATCTATTTCTGAACTCCAATTGACTTGAGATTATAACCTAATGTAGAATAACATGTTTAGAAACTCCTACATAAATCTCAGTCCAATCCAACTATTGAGTTGAAAATTATTTTTAATAGAGTAAAATTGGATGGTGTAAAAATTTTCACCAAAATTTGATTATAACCTTGCTTGGTTCATATATATATATATATATATATATATATATATATAAAGAGCATGTTTTGATTATGTGAGAAGGAAAATGAAGAAGATAAGAAATAAAACAAAAATTGATGTGCTTTTTGTTGATTATAGAGATGGGATGAGGAAAAGGGTTTGCGAGGAGAGGGTGAGAAGGGTGTGACTAATGATTTGTGTTTTTGTGATTTTTTTTTATATTTATTGGATATTTATTGTAGGGTTTAATGTTAGGTGAACCAATTTAATTCTATTTGGTTCAATCAATTTTGAATTTTTAAAATCAAATTGAATTGAAGTGAATTTATTTTTGTTTTCTAATTGGTTACTTTGGGTTTGTTTTTCAATTTTTTCATTTTCTTTGTTTTTTTTTTGTTTTTTAGCTTACTCCTACCCCTCACCACAATACAAACAGGCAGACCCTCACAGTAACACACACAGCATTCTTAAAGGTCCCTTAAAAAATAGTGAAAATACATATGGCTGTGTTGCGTTAGCTGCCTGCAATATATCAATCCCATGATAGATGTGTACTAGAATGGTCTTGAATTTATATGGGCGATCCAAGTATCGGAACCCTACGTCCACACGATGACTTTTTGCAATTTGTTCGTGAATCACAGAGGTAAGGCATCAAGCATGTCTTGATGGCCATTAAGGATATGATTAGGGTATGATCCAAATGCCAAAATGTCGCTTAGTGTAAGGGAACTCCTCTTTCCCTGGTGTGAGTTTCTAATGATTATCTCAATGTAGTGAGGCTTTGGTCCCTTCTTTGTTTAGCTATTTTTAATTTTTTTTTTGAAGTCTCGGATTTAGCCTTCGGAAAATTGATGAACAAGCACAATGCCCCATCAGGGCTAACAAAGTACCTTGCATTTCAAAGAAATTGCACAGCTTGTTTCTCATTCAGTCTTTGGCCTCCCACAGAATAAAATCTCTTAAGCAGTGTTTCTTTTTTTTTGCCAAGTGGAGAGACAGACAAGCGACACCATGTGGTAGCCAGGGAGAGAACGAAGCAAATAAAAGTAAACAGAATTCTCCATTCAAAAAGCTAGATAATTTACACACATAAATTAACACCACAATACCAAATTCACACGATAGATAGAGAAGCCAAGTTCAAACAAGGATAGAAGAAGTTGTGAAAGGGCGAACGAAATTAAGCTCTGCTCTTGAAAGGAATGGCTCTGATAACTATCTGGTGGTAGACAGCGGCAAGAGCAGCTCCAATGAATGGGCCAACCCAGAAGATCCACTGTAAGAAACAAGAAGATACATTGCAATGAATCAAAATCACTACTCATCATTCATTCATTAAGCTAGTAGGGAGAGCAAACCAAGTTCTTTCAATCAAACAACTTACGTGGTCATCCCATGCACGGTCTTTGTTGAAAATGATGGCGGCTCCAAGACTCCTTGCCGGGTTAATGCCAGTTCCAGTGATGGGGATGGTAGCCAAATGAACCAAGAAGACTGCGAATCCAATGGGAAGGGGAGCCAAAATCTGCAGAAAAACCATGAATAACATCATAATGAGAGCATGCCCCTGATTGTATTCCTCGTTAGCCATATCAATTTGCAGCAGTTACAAGAAAGAACACACACGAATAATTATATACATAAAAAATTCTTAAGACTTTTTTTTATATTATACAAAAGTTGGATGATATATATATATATATATATATGATGTTATTGGAAACCATTAACATCATGTGCAAGACAAACGAAGCAAAGGCACGCATGGGGACTTGTGGAGGTCCAAAAACCACTGACAAACCACACTAACAATCCATCAATTGATATTAATCCATTCCTTCCTCTCTATTCGAAAGTTTAGTGTGACTATCAACAGATGACGCCACCTAATACAAGTCCATGCAGGACCCCTAACATAGAACATACGAACACTGCAAAAAAGGCATATGATAAAAATAATACCAGTGGAGCCGTTAGTGGACATGGTAAAAAGCATAAGATGACGGATTGGCACCATGTGGTTATTTTTTGATAATGGAGGGGGCTACAACTTTTTTTAATAAGATGTACTCTGGCAGGACACACAGGACTAAGCACTCCAAGAGGCTAATTACTAGAGCGCATGCTAAAGTTGCAGAAACCTACCGAAAGGTGAAACATCATTATCAAAGTTACCATCACACCATCAGCCTTCCAAAGCAAAGAAAGCAGACAAACCACCCAGCCACACCCACCAGTCTCTGTAAAAAGATTTCAGGAAACTTGAACCCAGAAACCACACCCTAGATGAAAACCACACATCTATACCTCTGTCTAATTGCGTGTTTTATTCTGTGGGTAATTTTCATAAGTGTTTTTTCCGGGAATTTATTTTTTATTTTTAACATTAGCTCATCAAAACATCCAAAAGCGCTAAAAAATGTTATTTGAAGACAAACATATTTTAAAAACGCAATCACAGTTTGAAACGAACTACCAAACATGGCACTGAAACTTGGAAACGTGATTTGTACCCATATTAAAGATCTTGGTAACAGAAAAAACCAACAATTTCTAGCTAACCAAGAACCATGCCAGTCAACGAGACGTACATGAAACAATCGAGCAATAAAAAGCAACCAGAAACACAGAAAAACGGAGTACAGTGTAAAACAATTACATGGCACCAATCGACACAGCAAGGACTGTTATAAAGTTAAATAGGTAAACACATGGAGTAAAACAAAAACATAGAGTACTTACAGGGACATGAGAGTCTCTAGCGTTTCTCTTGGCATCAGTGGCAGAGAAGACAGTGTAGACAAGAACAAAGGTACCGACTATCTCTGCACCAAGGCCATCACCCTTGGTGTATCCATGATTCACAACATTAGCTCCACCACCCTGAACCTCGTAGCTGGAGCTTCCTTGGAAACCCTTCACTACACCAGCACCACAGATTGCACCAAGGCACTGCATGATGATGTAAAACACAGCCCTTGTCAAAGAGAGCTTCCTTGCCAAAAACAGCCCAAAGGTCACAGCTGGGTTGATGTGTCCACCTGAGCACATGCAGATCTAGTTAGTACAATACGACTTTAAAAGGTAAAAAGAAGGAAAACAAGACATAACCGGTATTAGCAAGAGAGACTGAACATTTAATAGGCAGAACCCAGAAAGAATGTTTATTTAGGAAACACAGGAGAGAATTATCCAAGGCTAAGCAGGTCTAACCCCCCCCCAAAAAAAAAGGTAGAGGAGAAGGCATCTTTGTCATTTATTACCTGAGATACCAGCAGTGCAGTAAACAAGGGCAAAGATCATGCCACCAAAAGCCCAAGCAATGCCTTGAATACCAACAGTGGAACATTTGCTTGTACCAGGCTTCGTAACACCCATGACAGTCAAGACAGTGATGTAAAGGAACAGGAAAGTGGCTATGAACTCAGCTATACCAGCCCTGTAAAAGGACCATGACTTGAGTTCACCAGGCTCAAACAAAGGAGCTGGTGGCGCCTCTTTGTAATCCTTGTCAGTTTGAGCTGATGTTCCAATAGGCTGTCTCTCTGAGAACTTGTTAGCTCCGAGCTTAACATCCTCTTCTTTGCCCTCCATTTTCTTTCTCGGAAGATGGCTTGTTGGTTTGTTTTTCTCTCTCTGTGTTCTCTCTGAAAGTAGGAGAGTACAGTCAGGCACACAAAGCAAAAGTTTATTGGGAGGAACAGGGATAAGGTGGTTTTATATATAGGCGATAAAAGTTTTTCAATTATTTGGCTGCTTGGAAAAAATGTGTTGTCTTTGTTTTTTTTTTTTTTATTTGCCGCTTGACCATCATGATCATTCAATTAAGCCACGTCACGGACCGGCATTTATTTATTCATTTATTTACAAGCACAATAATAATAAATAAACTACGGCTTTTAGTTTTAAATTAATTAATTTTTATATATATTTTATTGATATTAAAAATAAATTTAATAATCAAGTTATTGCTAAGTTTTTATTAGATTTCCATATGTAGGAAAACATTATATATCTCAGACTTGTTTAAAAGGATTTAATAAGATTTAAAATATTTCACTACTTAAATACTCCCTATTTTGAATATAGTAAGTGTAGAGATTTAATCTGTTCATTTCCATGAATACCAAGATAACGAATAAATCGAATTGTTTTTTCTAATTTTAATATAGAATAGTCAGAATGATAGATACAATTATAAAGATCCTTGTTGAGAATTAACCCCATCATAACAATCACACACTTCGTTGTTATTCATCTATTTTATTATCATTATTATTATTTAGTTTAGAATGGAATAGGAGAATATTCTAAGTGAAGTGTGACAAGTGATTAGAAAGGGATAGGGTATAAGGGTTATGGCAGTATTTTTCTTATGTGACAGTATAATGTTTTTTATAAAAAAAAACTTGATTTTTTTAAGTTGATTTTTTTATTTGTATTTTTAAGTTGGTTTAATGTATTTATACTAAAAATAAGTTTTGAAAAATAAAAAAGTAAATTATTTTAATACACCGAACGACAAACATTACACAAGAAACGAGTGAGTGAGGGGGTAGGGGGGTTTGTTCTGGAAAGATCAGTGAGAGATGTTGGCAGGTTTTGGTTGGCGGTTCGTACCCTCTGTTCTTATCCTCTCGCCATCGGGGGGAGAGAGAGAGAGAGACAGAGAGACAGAGTGTCGTCTTTTTCTTTATATTTTTTTTTTGGCCCTGAATTAAAAATAATTAGCTGTGCCTTCACCTAATCAGATGAAAAGAATGTGTATGGTAAGGGCTAGCCAGAAGAAAATACCACCTGTGGTCAAGCTCAGTGAGCTTCACCGCCAGCTCGTGTAAAGACCAAAGTAACCATCATCCTATGAACACAGGAAAGAAAGCAAGTTTATTACTTACTAAATGTTTGAATTAATCCTAATAAAAAATATTTAAAAATGTATTTGGAGTTGTTTTTCTTTTTTCTTTTGTCATTGATTTTAATTACGAGAAATTATAAATGTATATTTCCTTTTGCTATAAAGTTAAAAAGCTATAAATTCAAATGGTTCGTTATAAGCAGGTGCCAGGTGGCTAGCTCGAGCAAAATGGACATTGAAGAAGTCAAATCACTTTCTTGATTTTGACACCCTTTTTCCTTACTTCGGACGGTCATGATCTCCTTGTTTTTCCCGGAATATTCGTTATGTAGAGCCAAGCATCCCCGATTCCACTCCCTCGAAGGCGAGCAGGGTAATATTGACATTTCAGCAAAGCAAGAAGCCTCTGGGTCTTCCTTTCAAAGAAAGCAAAAGCACAAACCAAAAACAAGTGATGAAAGCTGAAAACAAAAAACGAAAAACCGAGTGGCTGTGAGAAGCTGACCGTTTTGTGACCGTTAGGAGGGGGGCAGCCTTTTTGAAAGGAGAACGAGGTGGAGTTAACGGCTAGTTGGGCAAACGGCTATTGAAAGAGTGAAAGAGGGGTAAATATTGTTTTTTATAGTTTTTTTAGAAATATATTAAGATGATATTTTTAATTTTAATTTTTTATATTAATATATCAAAATTGCTTAAAAAGACTAAGAAATAATTAGTTTTGTAATCAAATTTTGAAAAAAAATAAATCTCAATTACAATCTGAAAATTACTGTTGCGTCCTTCTTGTATAACAACGGCTTGACATGAACGGTGGTGGGGTCCAAAAATAAGCAAAGAAGTAGCAGGTGGGAGAGGGACCCCACTTACTCCAAAGTGAACTTTGATTGTCTAAAAAGGAAGATGGTTGTTAACTTCTCTTGTCCTGCCTGGACCATCATGGACTGCATCTATTTATTAAAAAAACAAATAATAATAACCCATTATTTAAGCTATTCGAATTTCGTCACTCCCCACCAAGTTTTATTTCCAGAAACCAGCGGCGCTTATTAAATTTTTTTTTTTTAGTCTACCCCAAACATCTCCTCGCTTAGGCAGTTTCAATTATAAATATATTAAAATAATTTTTTTTATTTTTAATATTAATATATTAAAAAAAATTAAAACAAAATAAATTTAATTTTTTTTAAAAAAATACGATAATAAACACTATCTTTGTGAGGTTTACATGGATTTAATAATCATTTGCATGACAATCAAACAGTAGAGATTGGGACCACATGCTCTCTCTCTCTCTCTCTCGTTCTATGTCTATCCTCTCCTTAATCTTCATTTCATGTAGCTTTTTTTTTTTTTTTACAGAAAAGGTGCATGAATGATACATGCTGGACAGCTCACACTCATGGGATACCCTTCTGGTATCGTCCCTGCCCTCACATGCAGCCTCCGGCCCCATTTTGAACCATTTGTGACATTGAAAATGAGCACCAACTTAAGCAAAAAAAAAAAAAAAAAAAAAAAAAAAAAAATAAAAAAAAAAAAAAAAAAAAAAAAAAGATAAAAGACACCTACAGAAACCCTAAAACCTGGAAGTGCACTCCAAACAAACACACGTCATCTCCAACCGTCCAAGCCTCTATCCCCCAGACACGTGGCAGTTCCTGATGTCATCATGGCCTGTTCCTATTATCCGTTGTGTCACCTACAGCTAGCTAGACTGACCCACCATTCCATAAGGGGTGCGCCAAGTGGTCCCATCCCACGAACCAAAAGAGCTCTCCTACATGCTTCAAGATCTTGCCACAGCTCACCTTGCCTTTAGCGGCTTAGCCAGAACATGCTTTGACTGCAAGTGATTAGATTACAACAGATCATGTGTTTATTGTAATTAGGGTCGTTGGGAGGAAAGAGAACTCTAGCTCCGGTGAGAGGAAAAGATGGGCTGGATGCATCTTTTTCCAAGGTGAAGGACATGCTGTAGCAGACACACAGATAGATACAGTCTAGGGTATCAATCTTCACCGGGAAGGGAATATTGTGAACTGGCTTCTAATTTTCTTATTTGATAATGAATTGAAGATGGTTCATTCGTGATACACGGATGAGATTAAGGGTTTTTGTTTTCTGTATACAACAAACACTGCGCAAAAATCATGGGTTTGATTTGAAGATTCTTGAGGAGATCTTATTCTTATCATAACAGGTATATGCCACTTATTTAATCAACAATCAATAATTTCCTAGGCAACAATTTTAGATCACCGGTAAACTCTAGGTGCACTTGTGTTATAAAATGTGTTTCAACACCGGAATTCAATTCAATGAGCACAAATCTCTATATTTACGAGAAACGTGAGAGTTTGACGTCTTTGCATGTAAAGATAATCTACATCCAACACGTCCCAGCCTTTTCTCCTCAGCTTCATGAAATTTATGATGATGATACTTTACATTACACTAAAAAAAAAAAAACAAATTGCTTACAAGATTGTTGCTATATTTTAATTAATAACTAAAAAATATTTATATTAAATATTACAAGTTTTTCATTAAAAAATAAAATGGAAACCACCACCATCTTTGCAGCCAATGAGCCAGCCCCCCCGCCAGTGTTGCAACAGCTCCTCTCACGAAGAGAGATCCCTTATGCCCATGGATCCACACAGCTTCTGGGTTTACAAGTTACATTGCTTAACTCTTACATGCTGTTATTTGTAATTATTAAAACATCGTCACTTTCATTTGTAGATAAATGCTGCTATAAACTCAGGAAATCCCGGGTAAAAACAAAACCAAACCTTTTTCTCTCTTCAAAAAAATAGAGACAGGGTAAAAAAATAGCTAAACTATAAGAAAATCAGGGTAATTTTCCCTTATATTTATTAGAAATGTGAGAGTTTGAGATATTTGCATATAAAGTTCAATTTATATGCTACACATTCTAAATTTTCTAATTGAAATTAATAGATACATGCGTGGATCCAAGGGACCTCTCTATAAATTCTCTTTGCACCCTTTTTTTTATTTTTTTCTGACTGCATTCATTTATGACCAATTTAATGGGCTTGGTTTAAATTTGTAAGTAATAAATTCAAAGAAAGAGGTCCTAAACATAAGACGCGAGGATGCTCACATGGCTAACCTGACATTTGCGTGAAGACTTAGTTTAGCTTAAAAATTTATAATTGTGTTTATTTTTTCAATTACTGAGTTTGAGAGAGGAAAGTAAACTTCTTAAAAAATAATAAAGAAAAAATATAATTATCAGGTGGCTATGTTTTGACAGTAAAAAAAATATTCTTGATATCACCAAATTCTATTTTTTTAAAAAAACAATTATTAATATATTGTTTGTTTTTTTTTGCTTCAATTTCTACAAAGAAAAAAAAGACCGGGATTGAGGAAGATTTATTTATTTTATTTTATTTTGTATTTTTAGAGTATTTTCAGAATGATCTGTATTGATAAATTGGTTGATTAATACTTAAACAATATTTATTAAACTTTTATAAATAAAAATAGATTAAAAATAAATTTTAAAATCCTAAAAACCACACCACCAATTTTCCACCTACCTCTTAGTGGTTGAAAACCAGGTTTGCTTATGTATCTTCTTCTTCTTCTTCTTCTTTTGAAAAAAGAAAAAGAAAATGACTTGTCATCAACTTTTTTTAACAGAAGGGAATGAATTTAAATCATCCTACGGAGAGTGACATGGAACAGACTGCGTCAGGAGTATTCATTGCAGCAGAACCACCTGCCAAGAAACAACGATTCTTAGTTCCATCCTCTTGAGAGATAACAACTGCATCATTTCATTACTGCTTTTCTCAATGCTTTCTTCTT